AATTTCATCTTTTTAATATGTCTCAAAGTATGTTTACAGTGTTTGGACAAATAAGGTTTTTCATATATCTTCAATGGTGACGTTTCTTTTGCGGTTCAGTATATTTGAACAAACAAAATTCTAATGCGCCTCAAGGCGAGGAATAGTGATAAAAGTGTTTTCCTTCCCGTTACTGCTATGTGTTGTCATTAAAGAGATAACAATATTTTGCTTTTCAGTGTAGAGCAATGTGAAACGTACTCGTATAATGGACGGTGCTAAACTGAATTTGAAACGTAACGTGCAACTCTGCATGCTGCAACCTCCAAACGTGTACATACTTAAGGGCCACCCGATTCTTCCATATTACTATAGTTAATCTGCCATGTCATGTCATGTCGTGTCATGTCATGTCATGTCATCTGCCTACCGATAATGATTGTGAAAGTTGTATTTTCATTTAATATTACAGTAAAGTACGGTTATAACGAACTCAAAGGGACTACTAATTTTAGTTCGTTATTACCGTAGTTCGTTATAAGCATATATACAGCATAACTACAGCAAATAGTCGGGACCAAAAAGGTAAGTTCGTTATATCCGTCAGTTCGTTGTAAGCGTGTTCGTTATAACCGTAGTTTACTGTAGTTTCAGCAACCGGCACGTATCAATCGGAGGTTGTTATTCTGATTTGAAAACTCTGATCGAGTGCAATTAATGTTTTTGACTTCCATGGTCATTGGGTCATGTTGCATCTTACAGAGACCGTAGTCTCTGATCTTACATTACATGTCAGGTTGTGTATTTGTTCAACATGGCCTTGACATGGAAGACGGGAAACATGCTGGCAACAGATTAATTCACCCGGTGTCACTATCGCCATTTGTATGTGATGGTATTTGATATTGGTCGCCTGAAATACTGTTGAACTATATTCGTATAAATATGTGTGGCGTTAATAGGGTCATCAAATGGTTAATATAATAGTGCTAGCATGCCGCATTGCAGAGTATACGTGACATTTGTCTGCGGCGGTGATGGGAACTCGATAACCCAGTTTGTGACTTGCTGAGAGGCCGACTTAGCCCTGCGCCATGGGTGTGGAATATATCTGTAGCATTTGGAAACCAAAACAGTCTCGATCATTAAAAACAAGTCTAGCCAGCTAAAACTCAGCATAAAAAAAAATAGACGAGAGATTTGTATTGTTTAATAACAGATTTCATATGTTAGTCCAGGGCTGACTATTTGATCTTCTGGGATTTTAAAAATATCTTTTTAGATCTGTTCCGAAAATACTTGCGAGGTTATAAAGATTTAAGGCGATGTTAATCGCTGAGCATAATTGCATGGACTTAACTGAAATAATGTTCAAATGTTTGAAACCCAGCTCACTCACTTACTCACTCACTCACTCATTCACTGAACGATTCAGGTCATGAATGGGGGGTGTTAAATGGCCAAAATGGAATAAGATGCCCAAAATGGGAATAAGATTGCTAAAAATTGGAATAAGATGTCATAAATGGGAATGAGATGGCCAGAATGTGAAAAAGATGGTCAAAATGGGAATAAGATGGCCAAAACGGCCGTTGAAGTAAGATATAATTTGGAGAACACTTCAACAAGAACTCGTCCTATTCTATCCCGGCCTGCACTGATGCTGACACTATTGACCAGTGCCCGATGGTGTCCTGTGGTATACCGCCAGTCAGCAGTGATCTGTAGCTATTTTATCGCTAGGTAATAAAAACACATTAAAACCGCCATCAACCTTTGTGGTATTGTGAAGAACAAGCAGTTTCACAATGTTCGTCGTGGTAGCATGACTCACGGTATTGATAAATCTATGAGTTTCATATGCATATCATAGATTGAAACTGAACCTACAATCACTGGATTGCCTTCTGTCACCATTTACATCCCATTAAACCGACACCCGACCTCAAACATATAGCCATACACGTTCACTGGCTCTCTGTGGGTGAAGCATTGGGGACTTAAGACGGTAATGGAACTATTTGATCTACTGATTTCAAACGTAAGTTGGAAATAATACATCATTTTCAATTTGATTCCATGCACGAACACGCAGTTTATATACTGGTATACTGTATACGTGAAGTTTGTGAGTGTTTAGTGTTTTACGCTTATTTGCAACATGTGGTGGTGTCGTGATTGGAGAATGATAACAAAAGTATTGCTAAACGCTATTAGCTGCGAAAACCTGGTAATTATTTTTCAGCATTTGCATATAAATAACAATCTTTGATTACAATGTTGAAGATTACATAAAATAAACGTCAAATATCACAGAAAAGCGAAGAAGTTATTACTCCAGTCTATGTTTTGTATAAAGTCCATTACTTTCAAGAATTGCTAAAAGGTTATGGTTATATACATAGTGTTGTCATAGTGAAAACATTAAATTATGTATCATGAATTAGTGCTGTCTCCACACTGTTTCCTGGTATGTTGACCCTGGCAAGGAATACACATGGGATCGCATTCTCCCTTTAAAATGAAAGCGTCGCTAAGATGTGAATGTTCTACAATACATGAACGTAAAACAACATCAGCTCTACGAATCATGAATTGACACGGAAACTGCACCATTATTTGTCAGTACAACACCATTGCTCTTGGGTTTCAATATTGTGGTAAACTTCGGACTTTCCACCCATATCAAGCTGACACGCCGTGATATAACTGGAATACTGTAAAAGCGGTGTTAAACCCAACTCACTCACTCACTTGCAGATGACATACTTGAGATTCCTTTTGTTTTTCGAAATAGAATGCCTATTCAATATGCATAAGTAAACAATTCTGGAAAATTTGAAATAACTATAATTTATCATTTTATCAATTAACCGATATATGTCACCAGTGTATGCCACGCGTGGTATTATGTAACCGATATATCTCATCAGTGTATACCACGTTTGGTATTATGTAACCGATATATCTCACCAGTGTATACCACGTGTGGTATTATGTAACCGATATATTTCACCAGTGTATACCACTTGTGGTATTATGTAACCGATATATCTCACCAGTGTATACCACGTTTGGTATTATGTAACCGATATATGTCAACGATGTATGACACGTGTGGTATTATGTGACCGATATATGTCACCAGTGTATGCCACGTGTGGTATTATGTAACCGATATATATCAACGATGTATGACACGTGTGGTATTATGTAACTGATATATGTCACCAGTGTCTGCCACGTGTGGTATTATGTAACCGATATATGTCACCAGTGTCTGCCATGCGTGGTATTATGTGACCGATATGTGTCACCAGTGTATGCCACGTCTGGTATTATGTAACCGATATATGTTAACAGTGTATACTCAATGTGGTATTATGTGACCAATATATGTCATACGTGTATGACACGTGTGGTATTATGTAACCGATATATGTCAACGATGTATGCCACGTGTGGTATTATGTGACCGATATATGTCACCAGTGTATGCCACGTGTGGTATTATGTAACCTATATATGTCACCAGTGCCACAATGTTACCGAAATAAAACACATTGGGCGCAATGTAACTGAAATATTCCACATGTGGCACAATGTAACCAAAATATTAAACATGTGACACAATGTTACCGAAATATTACACATGGGGCGCAATGTAACTGAAATATTCCACATGTGGCACAATGTAACCGAAATATTACACATGTTGCACAATGTAACCAAAATAATAAACATGTGACACAATGTTACCGAAATATTAATGTAATATAGTGTTACCAATGTATTACACATGTGGCACAATGTAACCGAAATATTACACATATGACACAATGTAACCGATGATTAACACGTGTTACAATGTAACTAATATTGACACGTGTCTGCATGTCACGCTAGTCTATACATTCAAAAGCAGAAACTATCTGTAAAATGTCCAATTATGCATTGCCGGTCGGGGCACAGTCGGGATTCAGGGCTTTATATATTTAGCTGCAATTATCCCAGCAATTACATGCTTCCAAATTGTTAATATGTCCTACATTGACTGCACAGTTGACGCAGCCGTTGTGGCGTGTCTCCCTCGCAGCACATATCAGAGCTTACTGTAGCGGAAAGTCACGCCCTGGGGCCAGGTAGGTAGAACTATAAACATGCATAGAAATCGTAGGAATATGTTATTCCCGTTACGTATTGATTTAAGCTTTGACATAGCGGAGGTGTATCGGTAAATAACCGCCGATGGGAGATGCAACAGGTTTCAGGTCAGAGAGATGAAAACAGTCAATTCTCTCAAGACCAACAGCATATGGCACAGCTGAGTAAGACACGTTAGGGTACGTTTTAGTGGCAAGTGTTTTCACCAGGAGAGGTTGGTTGGCAACATGGTATTACAAGTTTGAACTGTGAAGACCATTGTTTGCTTTACAATATACGATCAACTTCAAGTGGTGCTTGAGAAATATGCCACCACCTACCGCGAAGAAGGGCGTGTTTATTGCTGGGAAGAATAAGAAAGGCCCGGACCCTTGGTGCCTCGTCTGTGGCGTCAACCTGCGCCTCGACGGCCGCTGCTTCACCGTCCTCACCAGCGACGATGCCGAGGAGACACGTAAACTGTTTGTACAGATCCTCGGGGTTCAGTTCAAGAGTGACTACGCTTCTGTGAATTTATGCAACAAATGCGAGAGATCGCTGAAACGGATCAACCGATATGCTGGTCTTGAATCTGCCAAATCCGAAGCAAAAGCATTGAAGAAGTCTTTGGCGGAGAATCTAAAGAACAAAGGCCAAGCCACGGTTGAGGCTAGCGAAGCTGATAAATATGAAGTTAATAGTTTCAAAGGCACTGAACCGAACCCAAAAGTCAAGAGTAAGTTTGTTAAACTTAAATTTTCCGTTGTTTTGCAGTGAATGGCGGACTAATCCAGAAAGGGTCCATATATGAATGCGTTTTCTACGATATTTTATTTCAGGAACATTGTTGTTATTCCATGTTTGTGTCATATTTTCAGAGTCCGAGCCGCTGATCGAAGACGAGGCTGAGGACTGGAAGGAGAACCAGGATTGGGAACAGGAAGCAGACGACAGAGAGAACAGCGATCCAAATAAGGTAGTCGCGTGACCTTGACCTCATCAATCACCTTGACGGCATAATTCGTTTATTTGCAGTTGACAAGCGATTGACGTTGACGTCTGAACTTTTTCAATTCCTGGACGATAAACACGACGAACAGAACAAACCCCAATCCGTTGAAGTCGACTTTGACAACAATATATACTGAATGAGCATGTCGTAAATACCATGTCAAAACGGAAGTTGTAATTATATATTCACTTGTTGTGTCATAATGTCAGTAACGCGTGGCTTACTTCTCCCTCAGTTCAATTTAAGTGCACTGTCATTAAGAAGTGCCAAGCTAATGACCTAATTGGGGGTTCCCATTCTGCTGACATACAGTCCAACTCATCAAAAGAATAATAGCCGTCATTGTGCCTCAGCTGTGGGCCAGATGATGAAAGCTAACAGGGATGAAATGAGATGACATTATACATATTAGGTATATTTACTATAAGACAAAAAAAGGGTGGTAAGGATAATATCATACTGTCTTAACATGGCACAAACTTACAAACCACAGATACCCGTCAACGGTTCAGTGTCATATGTTCAAATTTCGTTCTCTGCTCCCTGGGCAGTATGATTTCCTTTCTTTTATGCTGTCATGTCAAAACTGAAAAGTCAGCGATAATGATTTGAAATGCCAGGTTGCTCTACCACACTGATGACTGAATAGTCATGTAACAATAGTGTGTAGCACTTCAACGTGAAAGGGTAACCTCACTTGTAAGGCTAGGTAGAGCATTCCTAGTTGAAATTTACCGATATTTAAAAGCATCTTGTCAGGTTCACTGTGCACTAACTAATAGAGGTTGCCAAAAAATTCACTTTATTGCCAAGTCATAAATATTGATGCAAAACAACTTTCTAATTAAATGTTGTAACGTTGCAAATCACTACAATTAAATCCATATCACTATACCTCACAAAAAGAGCTATTGCTCCATTGTAGAATTGATCTGATGAAGCAGATGACGTTGTTAATAGCATATCTCATATGTTCAATATTTCCACATACTAGTATTCCTATGTCTCCTCTCGTCAAACAATTAGTGAATTGCCTTGTGATTCTGCTGTCGGTTTGAGTACCAAGGCTGGCGTGGATCACTGTGATCCTCTGATTGAGTACCAAGGCTGGTGTGGATCACTGTGATCCTCTGGTTGAGTACCAAGGCTGGTGTGGATCACTGTGATCCTCTGGTTGAGTACCAAGGCTGGTGTGGATCACTGTGATCCTCTGGTTGAGTACCAAGGCTGGCGTGGATCACTGTGATCCTCTGATTGAGTACCAAGACTGGTGTGGATCACTGTGATCTTCTGATTGAGTACCAAGGTTGGCGTGGATCACTGTGATCCTCTGATTGAGTACCAAGACTGGTGTGGATCACTGTGATCCTCTGATTGAGTACCAAGACTGGTGTGGATCACTGTGATCTTCTGATTGAGTACCAAGACTGGTGTGGATCACTGTGATCTTCTGATTGAGTACCGAGGCTGGCGTGGATCACTGTGATCCTCTGATTGAGTACCAAGGTTGGCATGGATCACTGTGATCCTCTGATTGAGTACCAAGGCTGGCATGGTTCACTGTGCATTAACTAATTGAGGTTGCCAAAAAATTCACTTTATTGCCAAGTCATAAATATTGATGCAAAACAACTTTCTAATTAAATGTTGTAACGTTGCAAATCACTACAATTAAATCCATATCACTATACCTCACAAAAAGAGCTATTGCTCCATTGTAGAATTGATCTGATGAAGCAGATGACGTATTAAATAGCATATCTCATATGTTCAATATTTCCACATACTAGTATTCCTATGTCTCCTCTCGTCAAACCATTAGTGAATTGCCTTGTGATTCTGCTGTCGGTTTGAGTACCAAGGCTGGTGTGGATCACTGTGATCCTCTGATTGAGTACCACGACTGGCGTGGATCACTGTGAACCTCTGGTGGAGTACCAAGGCTGGTGTGGATCACTGTGATCCTCTGATTGAGTACGCAGGCTGGTGTGGATCACTGTGATCCTCTGGTGGAGTACCAAGGTTGGCGTGGATCACTGTGATCCTCTGATTGAATACCAAGGCTGGTGTGGATCACTGTGATCCTCTGGTTGAGTACCAAGGCTGGTGTGGATCACTGTGATCCTCTGATTGAGTACCAAGGTTGGCGTGGATCACTGTGATTCTCTGATTGAGTACCAAGGTTGGTGTGGATCACTGTGATCCTCTGATTGAGTACCAAGACTGGCGTGGATCACTGTCATCCTCTGATTGAGTACCAAGGCTGGTGTGGATCACTGTGATCCTCTGGTTGAGTACCAAGGCTGGCGTGGATCACTGTGATCCTCTGGTTGAGTACCAAGGCTGGTGTGGATCACTGTGATTCTCTGATTGAGTACCAAGGTTGGTGTGGATCACTGTGATCCTCTGATTGAGTACCAAGGCTGGTGTGGATCACTGTGATCCTCTGATTGAGTACGCAGGCTGGTGTTGATCACTGTGATCCTCTGATTGAGTACCAAGGCTGGCGTGGATCACTGTGACCCTCTGGTTGAGTACCAAGGCTGGTGTTGATCACTGTGATCCTCTGATTGAGTACCAAGGTTGGTGTGGATCACTGTGATCCTCTGGTGGAGTACCGAGGTTGGCATGGATCACTGTGAACCTCTGGTGGAGTACCAAAGCTGGCATGGTTCACTGTGATCCTCTGGTTGAGTACCAAGGCTAGTGGTTGAGTACCAAGGCTAGTTTGGATCACTGTGATCCTCTGGTTGAGTACCAAGGCTAGTGTGGATCACCGTGATCCTCTGGTTGAGTACCATGGCTGGCGTGGATCACCGTGATCCTCTGTGTTGGTGAAATGTAGTCTAGGATATGTGCTATACATTTCTTCAAAGTGAGTATGGTCATCTGACCATCGGTGTTATTGTGGCTGTATAGGGTCTGACCGACAGTACAAATGCGGTTGTGTACAATCTGACCGACAGTACAAATGCGGTAGTGTGCAATCTGCACGACAGTACAAATGCGGTTGTATACAATCTGACCGACAGTACAAATGCGGTTGTGTAGAATCTGACCGACAGTACAAATGCGGTTGTATACAATCTGACCGACAGTACAAATGCGGTTGTGTAGAATCTGACCGACAGTACAAATGCGGTTGTGTAGAATCTGACCGACAGTACAAATGCGGTTGTGTAGAATCTGACCGACAGTACAAATGCGGCTGTGTATAATCTGACCGACAGTACAAATGCAGTTGTGTAGAATCTGACCGACATTTTTATAAGTCCATTCGAACTGGCAGGGCGTGGGGCACGATACCTCGATTACCACACTGACGTCCCTATAGTACCACGCCGCCATGACAGACATCCCCACAAAACTGACAACGCGAGCTGGGGGCACTCTTGCCAGCACCCTTCTCTCAATATGACTTACTTTCTTAGATGCCGTTCAATTTCTTGAAAAAGTCCAAGAAGGACAAGAAAGACAAGAAGGATAAGAAGAAAGACAGTGATGCCGCTGTCGATGACGCCAAACCTGAAGACCAACAACCCATCGTGGACGCTCCAGACGCCGACCAGACCACGCCTCCGCCGAAAGTATTTAAAGAGGGCACTACATTGGCCACGATGGCGAGCTCGGTTCCCAAGAAACCGGAACCAGTTAAGGATCAAGTCAAGGACGAAGAGTACCCGGATGGGGGCTTTGTCCCTAGCAACCATGTAGCAGCTGCCCCTAGCAACGACCCCAAGACCAGTCAACCAGCTGCACAGGTACGGGACAATGGGTGCATGTGACTTTAACCCTTGACCTTGTGACTCGATGTAGGACGTGTGTAGAGAACTTTTATCTACTTGGATGTGTGTTCTGTATTATCTCTATTATCAACATTTCATAACCAAGGTCCACTGTAAACTGTTTACTGTGTCCGTGCATGGACATTAACTGTGTCCGCGTATGGACATTAACTGTGTCCGCGTATGGACATTAACTGTGTCCGTGCATGGACATTAACTGTGTCCGCGTATGGACATTAACTGTGTCCGCGTATGGACATTAACTGTGTCCGCTGGTACCATCTACTGCATCCAAAAGACGTGCAGGGAACAATGGCGCCTAGTGCGACCGTGCAATATGACACAGGCTGAAGGGAGCAAGCTGACACTCACAGACTGTGAACCTATTATTTGCATACTCCCAGTGTGTTTTCTGGCAGAATGCGATACGCATGACTAATATATCGATCTGGATTACAATATGGATAGCTACGTGCCCTAGCTGAAAAGGGGGCCTTCTGGGCAATGTCATTATGAACCTTACTAAAAGCACTTTTATTACAATAATAACAAGTACACTAAGTTTAGTCAACCGTGATTGTAAGTGACTACAGTTGCGTCCTCAGTCATTAGTACTGCCTTAGATCATTAGAAATGTCCGAAGCCATTCGCTTTTTCCTGATCATAAGAAGCATTCCAAGCTTTCAGAAATATTAATAAGTGTGTAATATTTTTCAAGAAATAGTATACTGATTAATATACAGGTAAGTAAGACGTCCAAAGGTCATTATCTCAGTCCACAGGACATAGTCCGGGCCTATGAAATATCCAAAGCCATGAGCTAATTTCTTGATATAAGAAATGTCGCAAGTCAGAAGATGTATTCCAGGGCGAAGTTGTTCAAGGAAACTTGGACAGCGATGGTTGATATACATAGCGTGGTGTAATGTGGCGCTTCATTTGTTGAAACTAGCGTACACAATGTTCCTCCATCAGGCGTGAGCACATACGCCGCTTCTTTGTTTCTTTGTTGTTTAACGGCGCGGTAGCCTAGTGGTTAAAGCGTTCGCTCGTCACGCCGAAGACCCGGGTTCGATTCCCGACATGGGTACAATGTGTGAAGCCCATTTCTGGTGTCCCCAGCCGTGATATTGCTGGATTATTGCTAAAAGCGGCGTAAAATCAAACTCACTCACTCACTCACTCACTCACTCACTCAAATTGTTGTTTAACGCTGCACCGCAATATTCCAGCTATGTGACGGCGGTCTGTAAATAATCGTGTCCGGACCAGAGTATCGATCTACATATTTTGGATACAACCCGACCACCCGATCCCGTTAGTCGCCAACCGGTTGCTGAAGACCTATTCTAACCCGGATATGCACAGGCTTATAAGCTAGGTGTATAACGGCGCGTTATGAAAGGTCGAATGAACCATGAATGAACGTGTGCGAACTCGACCATTTCCTGTCATTTATGTAATGTAATGCATAGAGCAGATAGTCCTAACGCAATGTCAAGCAAGAAACAAAGCCGTTTCTGCGATGCAAACTGAGCGCTCATTGGTCGGAGCATTCGCTGGTCACCGTCCTTCTTGAACCAGGCCTTGACTTGATGCGTTGGTTCAAAATAGCGATTCGGGTTCCAGTTGATCTTGAGCAACCTATTCTTGTCTCAAGAGGCGGCTAAAAGGATCGGGTGGCCAGGCTATCTGACTTGTTGAAGCACGGCATCGTATTCCAGTTGCGTAGTTCGATGCTCACGATGTCAGTCACTGGACTTTCAGGTCCAGACTTGAATATTTCGGACCGCCGCCATATAGCTGGAATATTACTGAGTCCAACAGACAAAATCATGTTGAATGATTGTACAGTGTACACAAACCCGTCGAGTATTACGAGTATTACCGAGGCGGTTTTGCTTGTGACACATACATTTATACGCACATTATTCACCTGACCACCCCACCCCACGCGCAGCATCCTCGGTAATCCCGGGTATTATATATCCATTCTATTATCAGGTGATGTTTGGGCGACCTCTTTTCTATGGCTGTGTTTGGGCGACATGATCTCATGTGATTGTGTTTCGCCAACTTGTTCCCGTCATTAAGCCAGAGGACAGTTGTCACACTTGATCACGTGACAAATATGCTCGACCCTGTTTTAACCCGATTCAAATGATTCGACGCTAAACATTAATCTCATGAGATATGTGTTAAGAGGTAGGAGACATAGTGTTGACGTCACTTCCGATGCGAGGGTATGGTGGTAAAACGTCCAGGGAATTTATCATAACATAAAGGAGGATGTATGGGTAGGGGTCGTGTGTTTATCGTGATTTAAGTTTCACACTGGCTCTAGACGCACCATACTTAATACATAATCCTGCCTTCCCGCTAAGTACGCTTCGTGTATATACATCATTACTCCGTGGCATTTCGTGAGGACAATACCGTGTGTAAATATAACTACAGTAAACTACGGTTATAATGAATTCAAAGGGACCATTAATTTTAGTTCGTAATAACCGTAGTCCGTTATAAGCATATATACAGCATATAAACATTAAATGGCCGGGACTAAAAAAAAGTTCGTTATACCTGTCAGTTCGTTAGAAGCGTGTTCGTTATAAACATAGTTTACTGCAATGTTAAATTGATACAGTACATTGTCATGCATCGGTGAGAAGGCTTTTATAATTCCTAGAATAGAAAAACTGTAATAATGAATATTGATTTTTTTCAGTTTGTTGGTAAATAATTAGCATAATATCATAATTTTCATCTAATTACTTACTTGGAAGGAATATCTGAATTCTATTGAATTTCATTTCTTGTAAAGAGCCTCAGGGGTCCAGGTATATTAACTCGTGTTTAATGAACCAATACTAGTTATTGATCGTTGTGAATATTTATGTTACATTGTAGATCTGTACATTGTGAAACAGTTCAGTGTCTGTTTATCTTTGTTGATTAAACTATAATTAATTATATATTTAATTATGAGACTGATAGTGGCGATCCAAGCTTTAACAGGTTGATACTACCGGACACATTCTCTACAACGCACTGCATCCGTGCGAGTTTATCGTGCAAATGGTTATATCTGATCAAAAACTGAATGTTCAAAGATGTCATTAGGGTGCGGTGGGTGTGACCGTTTTGTTTTGTTTTATATTTTCAAAAATATCTCCAGATATATAAAGGATCGCATCAAAGGGTATTTTTGTAACAAATATATGAACACGAGTCGTTTAAGTAAAAGAAAAGTTTAAGTTGTTTTATGTCCAGAGACGGCAAATGGTGGTTACCAAAATATATTGAAGGGCAAAAGAAAGTATACACCAAAATTAGAACAGGTTATTCGATGGTGATGTATTTGATACAGGTATCATTGTTATGTTTGAACGTTAGGTTTGCAGTGTTTCGGTGCCTGCTTCAAGCCTAGTAACGTTTTGACAATCTTTGTGCTACTTTGTTCAAAACCAATGTTCAATAGTATGCTTTCTTTTGTCCGTCAGTTTACATTGAGGTGATAAAACATTCGTTTTGTCCAATGTTGAATCTTCTTAAACGCTATGTACCCTCGCGTGGGTTCCAGGTGGGAATGGGTCCCAAATAACCTATGGTTGTCGTACGAGGTTGGTTTGTTTTGTTTGTTTGTTGTTTAACGCCGCACTCAGCAATATTCCAGCTATATGGCGGCGGTCTGTAAAATCGAGTCTGGACCAAACAACCTAGTGATTGACATCATGAGCATCGATCCCCCCATTTGGGACCGATGACATGCATCAACCAAGTCAGCGAGCCTGACCACCCAATCCCGTTGGTCGCCTTTTACGACAAGCATAGTCGCCTTTTACGGCAAGCATGGGTTGCTGAAGACCTATTCTTCCCCGGATCTTCACGTACGAGATGACTTAATGGATTGGGGGAGGCTCGGTTTAAAGGCCCCTTCTGGCACGCGGGATTCGGGGGTTCCATTTAGAGGCTATTCGGGACATATTCGGGACACAGCAGTGAGTTATGCAGGACGCAAATAAGATCGTATTTAGTATCAGATTCAAAAGTTTAAAAATATTGTGGTGTGCGTAAATAATAGTTCGAAGGGTTTTTTTTGTGTTTTATTATATTTAAATAATTTAACTTCAAACGCACCCTTTTATACTCAGGAACGTGTTCTATAGGTTTTCGTTCTGCATTTGTGGATTGAATTTTGACTTGTGTTTTTTTTTAATTTGAAAAAAGGATTAGGGGGAGGGGAGGTTTGTACCCACCTGGAAAGATCATGTAACTAACATTTACATAAAAACAAATATTCTCTCCTTTTTCAGGAGAAAGAAAATCCAGAGAAGCCAGCTGATACGGACGAGACTGAGCTCAAGAAGCTAGAGATCAAGGACGCACCTGTCAAGAGCGAGAACTCTCCACTCATCAATAAAAACGGAGATGTGAAGGAGAGCAAGCTGCAGGATTCGCAACCTGGCATGCTCTGCTGCACCATTCTGTAGCGATGCCTATAGGAACCGGAAATGACGTAACGTCCTTGACCTTGTAGTCACTAAAAAAACTTTCGGCTGTTCCAAGAACAGTTGCTCTTGGTTTTCTAACTCTGATACAGTTCTGTGGTGTGGTTTGCATTAGAAAGATCGTTGCATGAGGTTACGTTTGAAACAAAATATGAAAAAAAATATTCTCGGGTGAGTTTGCAAGACCTTATTATGTGTTGTTTTCCGTGACTCGCATGTTTATAAACAATAAAAAAAATATGCCCCATATACATTCTAAAAATGGTTTGCATAAATATATGGTATGGGTTGAAACCTTATTGATTACGCACGTTCATGTTAATCGATATCGATATACAAGCAATCAAATGGTGACTTGATTGATCACTATGTATAATATATATATAGCAATGAATATAATATATAAAACTTGAATCTTAGCATACGTTTAGATACATATGAGTTTATTCAGTCTAACGTTCGGAACTGATATTCGTTTATCGCAATATCTATCGACCACTGCGCGACAACTTCTAGGGATCGTTTGGGAGTAGACATCATATGAAATACCTGCACAGTGAGGCACCGCCCACTTTCCTGGGCACCTGTTGCATGTCATGTGACATAGCCTCGTTTTGACCTCGTCATGCGATGGTTGAGCGGTGCTGCAGCTGCTGCAGTTTCATCCGGGCATTTGTTGTCTTTGTTTGGAATATAATAATGAAATCTACATGTTATAATGACATCTGCTAGCTGATAGGCTGTTACACACGGGGAAAATATTGACAATATGAAGCGTCAGTCACGAGTGGCTATTGTTCAAGAAAATATTAGAGCTGATGGTGCGATTTTGCTTTGCCAGTTCCTTCGTTAACATGTCAACTTTTTTTGTAGCATATATTTCTGCGATGATTAAATCACGCACACTTGCTATTATTCAGGAATATTTATAAATCGACTTTTTAAACGAATCGCCAGCTGTCAAAATATGTGGAAAACTTGTCAACGATTTTGTCTTGTTACAGCTTCTCAAATAGTGGAAAGGGGCTTATTCATACGTATACTCAATAGGGCCGCAGTGCAGGCACTGGGCTTGTAACGCAAACATCGGCAGCTACAAGTTATATATATGACCACAACCAGTACCAGGAGTATATTACTGACACTGGTTGTAGCCGTATATTGTGCCGCTGCTAATGTTTTCATTCCAAGCCCGTGTGTGTAGGCACATGTAAAATATATTCGAATATCAACTGTTATTTATATATAATGTATGTCTGTTTAATTTATGTCTTTCACATCTCCAGGCTTCCTGTTTGTTTTACACTTTTCTACCGTACAATATGTTTATATATAGGCACGTATATATTTGTCTATCGTGATCACACTGAATAAGGAAAAAAGTGATGCTAATATTTAGTGTACCAAAAAAGGTCCGGGGAAAATTCAAGATGGTGGCATACGACAGAAATACGAACAACTGCACTTACACTCACGTGATCTTCAGACTTTCCGATAACTAAGGTCAAGGTCAGAATGCTAGGGTCAAGGTCAAACTGTACGTGCAGTGCAGTTAAAGTCGTTTATGATATCATTTATAACATCCTTTGTGAAAGTAGTGAAATAAGGACTAACCAATTCGTGATGCTATATAAATAGACTCCCTGGATGCGCATGTTTACAAAATGACGCAATAATGAATAATCTCAACCGGACTGGTGCTATATTATGTTGGCGTTGGCGGCTTTCACCATAATGTGCCTTATTACAATATGTACCGGAGCAAAGTCTCCAAATCCCAGTGTTCCATGTGTGTGATGTCTTCCTCTGTCACGTGAGATCGGAAATAAACGAGATAAGCTTCTATGATCCAAATAAATTCTTATTATGCTCATCAGAGCGTTAATTTCAATATTTCGACGAGAAACTTTCAATTTTATTTTATTCTATTGTATGTATACCGTGAAAAATGGACTTAATACGCATATGCTGATTCATCTATAGACGAGTTTAACATTTTAGTTTAGGGATTGTCTTGACAGACATGTTTGGGGAGAACGTAATTGCATACCTAATTCAGAATATACATTTAACACAGTTAGATAGTTAATTGCATTGGAAAGAAATGTCAGAGTTGAGTTTTGGCTGATTGCCGAATGTTTACAATGTTATGTTTAAGACAAGAGCACGTCAGGATTGTTTTGGAAAATGCACGTCCATCTGTTTTATGTTACGAAACATTATCAAACTAAAATTTCCTGCGTAGGGGCAGAAAAAGGGGGTGGAGGTTGGGGGTATTGTTTTCAAAACTGTGGCAACTAGAAATACCAGGCTGTGCAACTGTTCAAGGGAAAACAGTAAAGCAAATTTATGAGTATGACCCATATTTGGAAGAATATAGCAATAAGAAATTTAATTTAGTGTATATTTGTTTATTTTCATTTCTTTTAATTTCTAATTCCGCTGTTTATATCTGTTAACGTAATTGATAACTGCGCATGTTGATACATGTCACCTCATGTCATCCTGTTGAACAATAATTGTTCGTTGTTTGTTTAGCCCTGTATGGCTTTCCTGGCTGGGAGAGAGATATATTGTTGAGAAAACTCACCCCGAGTCAGCGATCTGTCTTCTGAGACAAAGTAAATTACTCTCCGGGTTGTTTTGTTGTTCGTTGGTAATAAACTCTTCTAAAATACACGATGTGGTTGCTTGTTTTTAGTTCCACGCTCCTCACGAGGATAGAAACCTCTAGCATGCCATTAAAAGAATATACATCGTAACATAGCCGCCTCCGTGGTCTAGTGGATAGAGTGTCTGCCCGGAGAGCGGAAGATCGCCGGTTCGAACCCCGGCCGCATCATGCCAACAGACGTTATATTGTACTTGTTGCTACCCTGTCTGGCACTCGGCATTACGGGGCTAAAACAAGGACTGGTCGGCTCGGAGTCAGTAAACTGTGTCTTAGTGGGATATTCATGTTAAACTGCTGCAGGTGTCTTTAACATTAAGTCTATGAAATCTTATAACGCACAATATCTTTGACTCTAATACTAGAATTTTTTTCATAAAATAAATATATTCCACAGTCATGGTGCAGGACTACAGGTATCTCATAGGGCTAAGATATTGGTTTTCAAAGTCTCGCCGTATGGATGCAATGTGTTCAGCTACTGTGAGTCTTCGCGGTAGAGGAGCACGGGTGCCCCAGTAGTCTAAGGCGACGCAATTCGTTTTGCAGGGTTACGTCCCTTGGGCAGTCCAGAATCCTATGATTGTGGGTTCCAATCCAACCCGTGCTCCTGGGTTTCACCAAAGTTGTAAACGTCTAAGACCTGCAACACTTCGGGATTTCCCCCCACATCAAGTTGACACGCCGTGATATAACTGCAATGCCGTTAAATCTAGCGTTAAATCCAACTCACTCATCAGAATGTACGTCAGCGTCACAGAGCTAAAAACCCTGTGGAGACTCCAGGTCCGGTTGATCCCATGTTCTCCTTGCTTGACGTGCGAGGCGACTCGGTGACTTGGCGGAATGGGTGTCATCATATCACGACGGTGTAGAACGTTGCTCACCATATCAGCCACTGGTTTACGTTTTCAATACTATTATTTACAGACCGACATTACAGTTGGAATATTGCTGACTGAGGCGGAATTTAATTAAAAGCGACAAAACCATTTCCATAATTAAACTGGTGAGTGAGTGAGTTGCGTTTAACGCCGCGTTTAACAGTATTCCAGTTATATCGCGGCGTGTCAGCTTAATGTGGGAGGAAAGCTCGAAGTGATGCAGGTATGAGACGTTTACCACTTCGGTGAAACCCACGAGCGAGGTTATGGTGCTGACAAACCTAGAAACATAATCGGGGCGAACCGGGATTCGAACCTACAATCATAGGTTTCTGGTGTGCCCAAGGTACGCAACTCTGCACAGCGAAACGCGGCGCCTTAGACGACTGGGCCACCCGTGCCCCAATATAAAGGGAAAGGTGACTAAATTGGAAAGTTGAAGATATCCCTCTTGTCATACAGTTGCGTGGAGGGTGTTCTGTAACTCTGGTTTGGTTGGGGAGGGGATTAACGTGTTTGACGATGATCTTTAAGTAATCGAGTCTGGACAAGACAATGCATTTTTTGACATCATGAGCATATAGATCTACGCAGTTGGGATACGATGACGTGCATCAACAAAGACATCTCGTAAATCGCCGCTTACGACAAGCTTAGGTTGCTGAGGCTATAAAGTGATTATCTAACCTGCTTGGTTTGTTGTGAGTGAGTGAGTTTGGTTTTACGCCGCTTTTAGCAATATTCCAGCAACATCACGGCGGGGGACACCAGAAATGGGCTTCACACATTGTACCCATGTCGGGAATCGAACCCGGGTCTTCGGCGTGACGAGCGATCGCTTTAACCACTAGGCTACCCGACCGCCCCTGGTTTGTTGTGATGTTTAAAACAAAATTCAGGATTCCTGGCGTAGTTGTCCCTGTACTCGCAAACATCTTTGTTGTATCTCTGTATATGCTCTTATTGTCAGTTCAGTTCTATAAAAGATACCTAAAATGGTTAGCATTACATTCAAAATGGCAAACACTGTGAGAGCAAAACTTGAACGGTCCCAGAGAGGAAGGCAGCAGGTTCTACATGAAGGATTTCTGTACAGATTGAACGTGAAGCGCCAGATCGCCACCCCCCTTGAATTGTACCACAGAGGGCTGCAACGTTCGATGAAGTATTGTTGTTGATCTTATCACCAGTACCCCTGGACACAGCCATCCCCCTGCGGATGAGAACCAGATCCGTTTGATGAGCCGACTGAGAGACCAAGTGAAGACGGCCATCAACCAGTACAGCAGATATACAATACAGAACTTGACTTGATGGACGAAGAGGCATCTTCCCGAGGCAAGGGCGTTAACCGACTACGAACGTTTCAGTAGAAACCTGACTTTCATAGTCAGTTAACTCCCTTGCCTCGGGAAGATGACGAAGAGGTAGCAGCGACAATGCCATCTTTCCCAAGTGTCCAAGCTGGGCTGTATCGGCAGAGAGAGAAGTCCGTCCCAACAACACGTAGTACAGAGACTGATCTACATGACAAGTGGACCAATTAGACGATTGGGGAGTTCTCAAGATTCTTGTGTTCGCGACAACGGGGATGTTATATAATGGGCAACAGTGAAACTCTCTTCGTGGTTTGGTTTGGTTCGTTTGTTGTTTAACGCCGCACTCAGCAAAATTCCATGCAGTTATATGACGGCGGTCTGTAAATAATCGAGTCTGGACCAGACAATCCAGTGATTGACGATGACATGCATCAACCAAGTCTGCGGCACGCATGGGTTGCTGAAGACCTATTCTACCTCGGATCTTCACGGGTCTCTTCATGGATGGAACTTTCTTTGTTTGTCCAAACTTGTGGCAAGTGGGTTTTGAGGGGTTAGTCCATTTAGGTTGAAGGTGGTGTGACTTGTTTGCAGTAGAGTGGGAAATCTATTGTGGTAACAGTGTAGGTAAAACGGGATGTAGGCGAAACGAGGACATGCCGTTGCTAAAGAACAATTCTAACCCGGAAATTGGCGATCTACATGTGCCTGTTTAACCATGTGGCCTACACCGGTATTAATGTACACTTGATGTTTGGCCCCAGGAGACAGGCGCTGTCCATCAATCAAGATTGTCAACATCCCACGTGTCTAACTGCAATCACAAGATACGTTGACAATGTACTGCGTATCACTACCACGTGCACCCTATCACGCCTTAATCACATGATTCGGATGATGACTAAGATCATTCGGATATCGGATTTGGGATAGTGAATGAACCTTTATCAGTACTAAACCCTGATCAGTTTCTCGTGTATGATCCCTTCAAGGTGTATATGAGTATGGTTTTACGCCGCAAGATGACGGACGGGGACATGAAAAATGTGCTCCACACATTGTGCCCGTTCGAGGCATAGGACCCGGGTCTACGATGTGACGAGCGACGAATTAACCCCTGTTTTTGTGTTTATTAACGCCGCACTCAGCAATGTCCAGCCGTATGACAGCGGTATGTAAATAATCGAGTCTGGACCGGACAATTCAGTGATTGACATAATGAGTACCTTTCTAAGCAATTGGGATAGGACTACATGTATCCCCCAAGTCAGCGAGTCTGAACACCCGATCCCGTTAGTCGCTTTTTACGGCAAGCACGGGTTGCTGAAGACCTATTCTAACCCGGATCTTCACGGGTAGATTTAACAAACTGGCTACACCTTCCCTTAAAAAAGAAAATGCAATATGAAGAAACTAGGGCACTTTTGGCGCCTAAAGCAGGAGTGTAACTGAACCTGAATAAGTTAGATATTGCATAAAAGGGAAATCCCCTAAAATCTCGAAATATAGTCTGGACTGTAACTCTTTGTAGACTGTTTAACATCAGACAAATTCCTAAACTTAAAAATATTATTCTGGGAAAGGATAATAATAATCAACTTGGGTCTCCGGTGAGAAGATTGGAGAAAGTGAATGGAATCCAAATTATTTTATGTGTGCTTCTTTCATTGTTGGGGAGTCAATATAATTATATAAAAAAAATTAAAAACATGAATTCTGCATTTAAGCTGAGAACTCATTAAAGCAAAAACACTAGATTTGAGATAATCGATATGCGTAGTAAAAACATCTGCAAGTCAATTTTCTACCAGCTAAAACACTTTCAGTTTTGCATTTGCAGTTGTCCTTGGGGACTGGTAACAAGTGGACTAAGGTGCCGGAGAGTTGCGTCCCTTTGATCCTAGGTTCGAATCCAAGATTATGAACCCTGATCCGTCTGCTCCATAATCGTATGCGTGGATTTTACCGAAGTGGTAGGTGTCCATGACCTGTATCCCGGGATGTTTCCCCCCGAGGATACGCCGCAGTATAACTGTATTACGCTTATTCCACATTATAGTGGGTAGGTCGAAAAATAATTATGAAAAAATACAAAATTAAATTTATATTTCTTTTGATTTAGTCCAAGTAGGTGTTGAAAAAAGTCGGTCTTAAAGAATTGGATTCGTCACAATTCGTTTTGTTTTGAATAGAATTTTCAACAGGTTTTAACTCTTTAAAAACTCACTGCTTATCATTTTTTTTTCAATTTCCGTTTTTTTGGAGTCGGCGGGTTCGTAAACAAAGTTTCTACTATAGGTGTTAAAGAAGAGACAAGTTTAGAGTTACCTCCCTTCTGTTATAGACAGGAGTTGTCGCGATTCGTCATTTGTTGTTTTAAAGACAAATGTTCAACAAATTTATTACAGCATATCAACTTATTCATATTTTACTTATTTCTGGTAAGTGGAATAAAAACACAACACTGCTTTTCATTTTATTTTTCTCACATTTTGGATTCGTAAGCAATGTTTAAGAAATGTTTAGCCTCAACCCCGACACATTATTAATGTCGCCTCATACGGTAAAAACATAGACCTCTGGGAGACTCTTCCTATCCGAAATGCGTATTACAGCAGTGATAACGATCTGCAAGTCATCGGTCAGACTCTATAGAGCTCAATACATACATATACACAGCCACACACAGGGAGATGTGATATCTGATGTACTACATACCTTAAACATCGATATAAGTCAACAGTCTATCTGTGATTCTTCTGTGATGACAAACACCCTATTGTGTTCAACACGGATAAAAGTTCA